TAATCCACTCCATCCCAGGACCATCTGGACTGGGGCTGCTGCGAGTTCCCCGCCCTGCTGCAAGCTCCCCCCAGCACATGGCTGTTGTCCCAACCATCGCTTTTCAGAGCGCTCTGGGTCATGGTGAGTCACTCCAGATCCTGAGCTCTCCTATGCTTCCATGCAGAAGCTGATGCCTGAGTATGGTATAAACCCAAATTATTTAATATTGTCACTACTGCTCTGACACATTTCCTGCTTCTCTTCTTTACACCCATTTTGAGTGAGGAAAACATTTTGGCTGAGTGGAGAAAGACTGATGAGTTGTAGGTAGATGGCTGTATTTTCAGCTGGTCTGAGCTGCTCTGAAATCAGCTCAGCTGGATTCATTCACAGCAGATGAAAAATGGAGTTGTGGAGAAAGATGAAAAATGAGGGAAAGAAATCACCACCATAAACTATTCAGATTTCTACCCTAGAAAATTTTAAAGGGATCTTATCCACTACTGCCCTTCTTTCCGGGGCTGCTCAACCAAGTGTTTTCTCACATCAGTTCGTTAAAATACCTGAAAGACCCAGGGCATGTGCTTAGGCTCTTTCCTTGGAGGAAGAACAAACCCCAAGGCAGATGTGCTTCTTTGCATGCTGACTCAGTCCCTTCAGCTACGGTGAATGTAAAAGTTCCCTAAGCCCCATAGTCATTGACATCCAAGAAGGGAGAATGAATCCAAGAATTAAGGGCGCCCTGTGGGTTTTGATTGAAAGGGATAAGAAAAATCACCTCCTTTGCCATACCCTCCTTCAAAACCCTTTGAATCTCTGCCAGTTTCTAAGCTTGCTCTCTCCTCTGGAGATAAATCCACAACACAGCAAGTACAACAGGACGCGAGGCCACTAGACTTTTTCACTTAATGTGGCCTAACAAGAACAACTTCCTTATTTTTATCACCAGAGCACAGACATTTGGAGGAGAGATAAACAAACCAACCTGAACCCTCCCTGTCACTCAGCAACAGCCAGGCCTCAGACTAAGGCGCTGCCAGCCCGACAGAGCTGTAAGTGGTGTTTGGGCTCCTCCCTTCTCCTTGCACAGATCTACATCTCTGCACGGATCAGAGAGCTCCCTTCCTCCTCCTCACACACACAGACAGCGTTTAGGAGTGCAATGCACACCATACCTGCACTGTAGTTTACGACTTCAAGCGCCGGCTCTGAAAGGAAACAAAATGAGGGTGAGAAAGTGTTGGGCTGAAGAGGAGAGAATCCAGGACGTGGTAGGTTTGGCAATGATGAGATCCAGAGGCAGCATGGTTTTCCAGGGCCTGCAGGTTTTCTTTTCTCCTGTCAAAGTTTTCCCTCCCTGCATCACACCAAGAGTGTGTGATCAACTCTGTTTTGGTAGCAGATCTAAAGCACAGCACTGAATGGGCTGCTATGAAGAAAATCAACTCCATCGCAGCCAAACCCAGGACAAGTGCCACTCAGAGCACCTTCCAGTGTTTCCTGGTGAAATGAGAAGCCTTAGGATGCACATTTTGGTTTCAGGTAAGATTCTTAGTATGAAGAATTACTAGCTGCAGCTATTGTCATATTCAAAAGGAACATCTTAAATTAACAGTACTTAAGTAATTATCTGCTCAATTAAGTGGCTGCTTATGTTATGAAAAAGAGCTGTAAGTGTGATGCAAATACTCAGAATTTAGCAGTAGCAGCAGAAGAAAGTGCTGCTAGATGTTTTATGGTGACAGTCAGTGATAAATGCCTACCTGGTCCGGGCAAGACTTGGAATTGTATCTCCATACCAGCGTGAATATGATCAGACACATGACAGTGAAGCAGCCACGTCCCAGGGTTCCCAACCAACATCTCCACCATTTCAAAGGTCCCAGGGAACAGATCCACAACATCTGCTCTGTAGCTTCTGCCATTCTGTCAAAAGGAAGGGAGGCTGTTGTGCATCTTTTCAAAAAGAAAATGTCACTAGAGATCACTTCAGTGCTACTACATTTTTTAAAAGCTCAAAAACAGATTTCAAAGAGCAGCTCCAGGGCTGTAGCTGGGAAAGCAAACACAATCTGGTAACACTTAATCCTAAGAAGGGTTAGCTAGACACAACACAATACAGAGGCTCACTAAGTCATATCTGAGTGTGCAAAATCACATCCCTTTCCTAGTCGGGTGAGGTTGCTGTGGAGCCATTCAGGAAGTGCAAGTCCATCAGAGTCAAGCAAAAGTGATGGTATGGGTGGTCTGTTTCTGCTTTATCATCAGCAGGATACTCTTACCTTGTATATGAAGGTCTCGGCATGAAAATGGACCGTGTGGACATCAATCTCCTGACCCATTCCCAGCAAGTACCAGTTCACCAACTCACCCTGGAACATGGTCAGCCCAGGTAAGTTTGCGTAGAGCCTCCCATTGATGGCTGTGCAGTAAAACACAGAGAGAGCAGAAGAGGCTGTTACTGAAATGGGAAAGATGCTGAACCATCTCAGAGGAAGAACATGCAGGGCAAGTTAGATGCTACAAAGCTCATAGAGCAGTGCACCAGTGGTTAATGTCTTCCATATGACAATCTAGCAAAGGTCTGGCAGTCTCTCTCCAGCTCAACTACGTATCCACTCTGTTAACAGATAGAAAAAGGTAAATTAATTGCATCCAAGGCCATGCTGCAGCCCAGCTCAAATAAATCTCAAAAACTACCTCTTGCTGAAAACCTGCAGTCAGCCAGCAGAGGTGGTGGTTTCTAGAAGTCAAGATGTGTAAAAACAGCCTTTTTAGCCCAACGATAGGGAAATATGTCTATATATACACATAAATCTCCGAACAATTCACTTGCCAAACAACGAAAACAGGTAAATCCTGCCAACAGGTAACCCTGTCATTCTGTGTCTCATGCTGGCTGCACACATTACATGCTGATCACTTGTAAAGTCACTACACGGCAGGACTTTATTTCATAATTAGCACAGCAGGAAGGAATACTTCTTTGACTGCAAATCCAGGAAAGGGACCAAAACAGTGAGTGAGCTGAATGTGATGGCACACACATCACACTCAGATGACAGCGGAGGGAATAAGCCAGAAAGAGGCAGGATCTGAGGGCAGGAACACCGATGTTTTACTCCCAGACCTGCCATAGGCACTTTCTGTAGCCCAAAACAGGCATTCAACTTCAGTGTGTTGGTTTTGCTAGCTATAACACTGCGTTAACGATGATAACAATGGCTATGTGTATTTGGAGATTCTTTACATCACTGTACAAAACCAGTAGCAATGATCGTACATGTAACACAATTCTTCACTATTATTATCTCCACAACTGCCAAAGGACTTGTTTTGCTGAGAATACTTTAGAATCCAGATATAACATGGAGAAAAACTATCATAAATAGTATGTTAATTTAGAAAACCATGTTCACTCTACTATGGTAGCACTAGCTTTTTGGTAACAAGCTATAACAACTGAGCCATGTATTGCAGCTGCATGGGTCAATTCATTTGAAATCTAACATATTCTGATGGTCCTGAGATGAACAGAATGAAATTAGTCTGACAAGTTAATTTCACATTTGATTTTATATCCTGTCCGAGGTACTCAGACACAGAGATTAACCTCTCTAGCCCATATCTTGCTATTCCTCCTGACAGAGACAGCCATAACAATCAGCCTTCATTGTCAATTGAAGATTCGTGCCATATATGTGCTGTAATATTGAGAACAACAGGCAGTTTAATTCTGTCTGTGCCACTGACAACAGAATAGGATGAGAGGGCATTCACTAGGAGTCAGACTTTCAGGTTTTGGGTGGCTGACTACTTTATAGAGGTCACAGAGTCAACATTGACTTTGCATAGAGAGCAATGAGTGCTCAGGTGCCTAAACAGGCATTACCATGCATTTTGTTGCTTTCCACAAATTTGTCATCCAGCAGGTTGATCTCCTTGTGATTTCCCTTACTGTAATGTTCCACATTCTCCTCCAAGTACCAGGACTGATTTTCATCAAAAACCAGGAACAGCAGAGCAAACTCCCTCTTGATATCCTTCCTGATCCCATCAGATCTCAGTGTCCCTCTCCGGCAGATCTTCAGGGGTCCAATCAGACCGCTGTACATATCCTAATCAGAATGAAGGAGAAAACCTCTGAGGCAAGGACCTTCTCACTCTCTCTTTTGTACATCGTTCTTTGCCTTTCAGCAACCATATTTTCTGTTCTCTGCATCACCCACTTAAAACTAATGGTGCTACTGTGTAAGTACTCTCAGTGGTGAACATCAGCTATCAAAGCACGAGAACAGAGAGTCTACATGCTCTTATGAATGCAAATTCAAAAGTCATAAATATGAATTATAACAAAATATTCTCCACTCTGTAGCTGCAAAAACATCCTCAACTTGAGATAAAAAGGCAATGATGTCTGGGTTGAAAGTGATGGTTTATTGCAGGACCCTCCAGGTTGTTTCCCTGGGAAACCAGTGCTATGACAATTGATCCTAGCAATGCTCAAATCTTCCTGCTTTATCCATGGGGCCTAATTTTGGACAATTTCTGTCTTTCTCAATTAGCTCTATGGCTCTCACTGATAGAAATCATGACTTACTGGGAGATGTTCTCATATCTTGCAAATAACTGAAGAAAGGTTAGTGTCAAGGAGACAGTGGAACTGTTTTATGAAGGTTTGTGTTAGGAAAAAATAACTACAAACATTATGACAAATTTGGAGGATAGCCTCTCCCAGGAGAATGCTGGACATGTCACCAGGTGATTCTTCTACCTCTTGGCTGGGCCAATCTCTAAATTGTATCCAGCTCACGTTTTTTTCCAGAAGGGGTGAAAAAAAAAAAAATCGGTCTAACTGGGCTTTTCTGGCTCTAACCTCAATTTTACCTTTACTGGGTCCACCATGGAGTAGTAGATCCAAGGAACACAAGCTGAATCATTTGGCCCTGGACCAGATCTCTCAGGAACTTCCCATCGGTATGTCACAATGTCACCTGAGAGAGAGAAGCACCATTAACACCAGGGTGATACATTGACTTGCCAGTTTGCTGAACAGCAAAAAATGGAAGATCCTGTCTCCAAAGTGCAAATTCAATTCTGATTTTGTTGGACATTGCACTTTCCTTCCCCAGATGCTGAGGAGCAGGATGGAAGCTCCTCTCTCGCGAGCAGAGGGGTGACATGATGCACGCACTGGTATCAGCACAACTCTGGTTTTTCAGCCCAACTCCAGACCTTAAGGCTGGACCTGACCAAGGAAATTCCACTTCTCTCCTGTACAGATGGAGCTTGAGATGATCTTTCATCTTGCTGAAGTACATTTCTGCTTCTCATTCAAATTAATTTTTAAGATTACCATTTTGCAAACTAGCAATGCATTTCAGAAAGACGGGACCTGACTGAAAACACATTTGTTGCTTACACAGCCTGCACAAGGTCAAGGAGACCAAAAATTATACAAATTGCCATCTGGACTGTGAAACAAATTGGTCATTTCAGTCAGTGTCTTGGCAAGCAATTGTGCATTTCTCCTACTTCACACTATTTTCATACTATTGTGCACATCACAAAAAGTCCAGGTCACAAAGAAGAGGCGCAGACTCCCTCCATCATAGGCTGAGCTGTGAACTGCCATTGCCCTTCTTCCTCCCGCTGACAGCCCACGCTCAGGCTGCTCCAAAAGGTTTGTGCTCTGCTCAACCCAAAAGACAGAGCAGAACATGAACTCCCATACAAGTGATATCAATCACTGTGAACCTAAAAGACCAGCTATTGTTAGTTACAGTTCTCTACCATAAGAAAGCAAGTACATCCAAGTCTGCTTAAGGAAACCAGCCTACAGGCCAAAATCAGCTTCATAAGCCCATACAGGAACATGGCCGGGACTACGATGACTTACCAGGGTTTGCCACTTGTGGCTGTCCCGTCTCCCTTGCCAGCACCCCATGGGCGTGGATGGAGTAGGGTCGTGTGGCATTGTTCTTAAACACGATGTTGAGAATATCTCCCACCTCCGCCCACAGAAAAGGACCTTGAGATGGGAAGAACATACTCTTAAGACTAGCAAAAACTGTCAGCCTACCTCCTGAAGATATTTCCACCTCTCTCTCATCATCTTCTCCCCAGAGATACTCCCTTATAATATTTATGATGTTTCCCTCCCTCTTCTCTACCTTATCTCTACCTCCTAAGCAGAGAATTGGAGGTCAGTCCCAATTCAGGTAGGTCTTAGAAAACCAGACTGTGAGCTTCACAGTGTGGGAAATGAAGGTTGTTACGCATTTTACATGTGCCCAGTACAACTAAGGCTTGATTTCATCATGCCTTGCTGCTGGTTTCAAAAAACTGCGGTAATATTCAATTTGTCCTGACAGTGTCACAAATCAGAGCTGTAGGCTGTTTTTAATGGCATATACTGCCTCAGCCTTGCTGCTCTGGCACCACTAACAGTGCTGGGTTCATAACATGGAGCTGTGTCTCCACAGACGTCTATCGGTCACTGCAATGTGCTCCTCTGCTTCCCAGGGCCTGCCTGCTTTTGCGCCAAGAGCATTTCCCTCAGAGCTGCAGATTTTCACCTACATCTCAGACTGCTCTCTAGAAGCCAGCAGTTATTTCTGTTCCACAGTCAGAGAAATGCAGGTGTGAAAAATGCTTTGCCTGAAAGGAAGGTGGCATAAAGGCAGGCATGAGAACCCAGTTTTCTCTACCACAAGCTGTGTTGAAGACCCTCTTTCCTGCTGTTTCCAAAGCTGGCAGATCTGGACAGGAGACAGTCTGAATTTCTTCTCGCTTGCAAACACAGCAGACGCCTAAATATCTAGAAAGCCTTCAGATCACAGCTCTGAGCCACCAAAGGTCTAGAGTCCAAGTCCCATCACTGCGTGAGTGGAAGATGTACCCTCTGCACATATCCTTACCTAATATCCTTACCTAATATCCCTAGGTGTTCGTGGCCTTGAGGGTCTGGAATGTGCCATCAGTGTACTCCCTGTAAACGGCTTTCTTGTACTTGGAGCCAAGCAGTCCGTTCTCGTTGCTCAGAAATACATCAGCGTAGCTGAGAAATGCAGAATGAGTGCTGAGATACCCAAAAGCTCACAAGGAATAAACAGCTAACTTGTGGTAGGGGGTTCACTAGCTGAATGGGTTTCCCAGAGACCTGCTTTGGCTGCAAAGGTGGGCGCAGCGATGTGGGGCACGATGGCCAAGATACCCAACTGGCTTCACCAAGGTCTACCGAGAAGCTTTGCCAAATGCTTCTCCAAAAGAAGGGCTCTACCTCTCCGCAGAATGGTTGTGCCGTTCCCTCTCCCAGCTGCGGTCGGGTGCGTAGTCCCACTCCACCTCCTCTGCTGCAATGTAATACGTCCGCACCCCTCTGTAGTGACGGGCAGGAGCAGGACCGCTTTTTCCACACTCTGAAACGACGTAGCGTTCCCTCATCCCAGCCTGGTAATGATTGCTCGTCTGGCAGTAGATCTCAAAAATCCCTGAGGGAGGCAGTACCAACAAGGAAATCAGCTGTTTTCAGAGATCCCAGGAAACAGCTGCTTCCCATGCAGAGGTGGTGACGTGGCTGACACTGGTATGTGCTTTGTGTGTCTGGGTGTTTGTTTGGGGAGCTTGGTTGCCACAGGCCGAGATTAAAAGGGGTTGTTAGTTGGCACAACAAAGCCCTACACAAAAATAATCTCAAGAGGCTTTCTTACACAATAGCCAGCTTATTAGATGTGAAGAAACCAATGAAGTGACATAACTGTGCTACCACTGCTGAGATGCTGGTTAAGTAAAAGACCTGGCCTGCAAATGCCAAAGAGGAGGAGACAAATGAGCACTAAGACCATTACACTGTGTGAATGAGACACAGTATGATGTGCCTATCCCACAGACTGGGAAGACTGGGGTCTGTCATAAACGTGAATCTCTGCAAGCCATAGACAGGGGAGTTAAGTGCTGGGAATTGTGTACTTTAAATGACACATTTGCATGTTTCTGTGGGTCCCAGGAAGCTGTCCATCATGATATGTCCATCAGAGCTGTTACTACAAATGTTTAATAGGAACTGGCAGCCTAGAGAATCAGTCTGGGACAATATGGGACAAGATCCCGTATCTGCTGATATTTTCCAGAAACAGATACAAAGACAGGACCTATGGCCTTATAAACATGACCAAACAGGATCTAAAGCACAGCTCACCCTGTAAGAGTTCACACTGCACTAAAGAATCAGCCACAGGAGCAAACAACACAATGGGAGACTTTTCTTGCTGCTGAGTGAGATGTGCAGGCACTTACCCTTGTTATCAGGTTGCATGAAGGCAGTAGCAAATGTGTGTGGGAACAGATTGGCCGAATCTTTCCGCATCCCGTTCATCTGCAGGGTGTTTCCCTGGAACACAGCTCCGTGTACATCTGCTTCGCTGCCCAAGCCCAGAAGGTGCCAGGACACATTGTCTCCTTCACACACGTTCAGCCCAGGCAAGTTACCAAACATAAGTCCATTGATGGCTGCAAAGGAGAAAAGAATTAACTCGCTGCAGGTAGAGATCAGCCAAGAGATTTATTTTGTGCATACACTCTCAGAGGGCAGGCCTGCCAGAGGACACATAGCTTGCTTGTAATTCACCCTGAATATGCTCAGCACACACTCTCTGAGACATCTGTTTCTTGTCCCATGTCCCCCCCACTGCCCTTGGTGTTGCTTGATTTCAGGCCAATACAACACAGAATCACCCAGCATCCCAGCTCAGCCTTCAGGTGAACACCACCCCACGCTTTGCAGGTTCGCTCCCGCTGTGTGCAGAACAGCATTAGGCCATACCGTGCATCCTGTTTGACTCCTCGAAGCCATCATCCTTTTTCACAGAAGCCTCTTCCATTCTCAAATAGTACTTTATGTTTGCATTTAAATACCAGCTGAGGTTCTCATCAAACACACTGAAGAGAAGGTAGAATTCTTTGTCGATCCCTTTCTAAGATATAATCATAATGATGGCTGTCAGTGTTTAAAATGCATCAATTAACTATTCTTACAGCTAAAGTTATTTTGCCTAGCTCTCACGTTCCCCTTTATCTTAAAACCTGGTTCACTGAAGGCCAGGGCTCTGTCCCTTTACTAATCTTGAATGTTCCTCTCTTGTTCCACAAGGCACCACTTGTGGATTTTCCACGATATTTTACATGAGGAAAGTGATTAAAATTCAGCCAAGGATATGAAGTCATTGCCTCCTTGCCCCTGCACACCAACATTTAGGTGTAGATTTCATCGCCTGTCCAAACCAGACTAGAGATCAGAGCCTAGCCCATGAGGCAGGCTGCTGACCGTGTCCCAACCTCCTAACACACACCTGAATTGGGGATTTTTTAACAACCCCAAATCCTTGAAAACACTGATTCTCCTCAGAAACGCATTCCAAAGCCTGGTGTGTTACCCCACTGAAAGAATATCCCTGATGTTGTCCAGATTCTCATTCAGGTATCAGTTTCCTCACCTGCACCCTGGAAGACGCCCTGCAGAGAGGGATGAGCAATTCCCAGCCAGCAGCACACAGATGTATGAGGAGTGGCCATGCATTGTCCTTAATTAAGCATTAATTAAAGGGTCACCTAAGATTGTGGAGCCAGAATTGCTGCCCTGGGTGATTTTTCCTTGTCCTACCTTTCCAAGCAAGGCTGTCTCTGTTTTGTTTACACCCTTTCAATACCTGCAAATGTTTTACCATTATCACAGCTCCCTCATACAGTGGGCTGCATATATTCACAATCCTCTCTGCTTGGAAGATTCACATTTCCACTCTGTGTAAGATGCTGATCTCTTCTGCACTCCTAATTTAGCCACATCGTGCTGCATGAATGCAGACAGACTCCTGGAGGGAGGCTCTCCTGGCAGCTCTTTCCAGGCATTGCAGCCACTCCCTGATCTACACCACAAAGTAGGGAGGATGGCACTGGGTTGTTTTTCTGCCGCCTACTGTATTTCACAATAAGGCTCTGCTAATCTGCCTTGCACTTCCCCAGCATATTAATTTACTGCCTTCCCTAGACTTACTGCTGTAAGTAGTCTGTTCCTGAGTGAAATTCCAAGAGGAAGTTCTGCTCACCCCTCAGATTTCACCTCTCTTTCATCAAAAGCATAAAGACTGACATGGATTTTCACGCTTGAAAATGATCTTGCAGAAGAAATGAGGCTCACCTAACCCCCAAAGCATTATATCACTCAAGCAAACCACCTGAAAGTGAATATTTTTCAGTGTTTCTAAGACTGCAATGAATATTCCACATGGCTCTGAAAGCAGCCTGCTATGCAAGTCTCAGGACAAAAGTTACCTATGAAGACACATCCAAGGTGCAGTTGTTGAGCTGCATTTGTCTGAGTTTTAAAGCAGAGCCCAGAAACCATTTTGAAGGCAGCCCTTAGGAACCGAGAACACCAGCCATTCCCACACGAAACCTGGGCACCAGCTGTCCCAACGTTAACCTGCCTTGCAGCCTTGATTCTGTCCTCCTGGACTCACACTATTGTACATTTGCTTTCATTATGTTCCTTAACGTTTTGCTGGTGCTTCCTTTCTCGACAAGGAAACAAGCTGGTAAGAGCATGGAAGGAAATTCCCATTTACCTGTTTGTTGTTGTCATCCAAAGTGCCTGGCTTGCAGATGACCAGGGGCCCTACTAAGCCCGAACTGGAGTCTTTGGCAGGATTCGCAGCAGAGCTGTACATCCAGGTCAGGCAGGGAGGGTCGCTGGATGTGGGCCCAACGTGCTTCGGCACAGTCCAGCGGTACGTGAAGTTGTGCAGTGGTGGAACGGAAACCCCATTCTGGGACTGACCTTTAAAACAGAGATGGGCATGGTTATTCCCAATTAAATTCCCATTTAAATTCCCCCTGGTGCCATGGCAGAGATGGGCATTGTGATGGGAAATAACAAAACGGATCCAGCTGCATCTCTTGGACACATGTGGTTACCTAAGCTGGACTGCACTGGGCATGCTCCTCTGCTCACAGGATCTCAAACAGCTAAAAATGGTCTGAGCTTTGGTTTTCTTTGGAAAATAGCACCTCTGGAACCATACTCTCCCAGCACCCTCCCTGGGCACCAGTTCAGGGGGAAGTATCCTTCAGCGAGGCCTCAGGCAGGCTCAGAGGACCAGTCTGGCTCCCACCCCATAGGATATTCAGTCCTTCCTGGCTGCAGAAATTCCCTGGCACAGAGGAGGTATGGGCTGTGGAGCGTCACCACCACCGTTAGTGTTGAATTACTTGAGAAAAGAGAGTCACAAACCGTCATGGTACCACATCCCTCCCCATGCCTTCCCATAGGACACTCCATGAGGCTGGATGCTGAAAGGCCAGGAGGCTTTGTTAACAAACGTCACCAGGATGGTGTCTCCCACTTCAGCTTTGATCACTGGACCTACACAAAGAGCAGAGAGAGCAACGTCAGCAATGCAGCAACTCCCTGGGTCGCCAGGCAAACCAAAGAAGCCATAGTTGCCTTTCATCCAGGCTGAGGGGAGCAGAAGATGCACAAGAAAGGTGGACGTCCCCATGCTTTGGTACTGCCTGAGACCCTTCAGCCCTGACAGTAGGAGCAGGGGGCTGACAAGAATTGTCTTAAAGCATTTTGGGTCTGCTGCAGAACTCAAGGAAGAGGCTTCAGACCTTCACAGGCAGAGTAACAAAACAGACAAATGTGCCAAAATGCCCTCGTGAAAGGCCGTGTCTCTTGCCCACCTACCTGAGGACCCCTCAGCCTTCCAAGACAGAGGTCTGAAGTGTAAAGAGAAGTGGGAGATGCTCTAACCCCACCGCTGTCCCTGTAAGCCACTGCCCTGGCCAGCTAGAAAGAAGCCATGAGTCTTTACCATGTCTCAGTCCCCACTGGCCTGCAGACCCCCAGGGCCACAGACCACTCCTGACAGCCACAGGATGCCATGAAGAGAGCCAGGCTCCTGCCTGGCAAAACCAACATCTCTCATATGCATTAAACTCCACCAATTCAGTTTTATTCAGCTGCTTATACTTCCTTTTTGCCTCTCCCCACCATTCTCCCCCTCCCTCCCAACCTGCATTTTACTCCAGGTGCTCTTTCCTCCTGTGGCCTCTGCTGGGATTGCTGTTGCTAATCTCTGGTGTCATTAGATTATAACTCACTGCTGACGTAGGAAATTGGATCACACCTATGTGCTTCTACCATGTACGTCACAGCCTACATGCACCATTCATTTCCCTCTGTGAACTGTCTGTTTTCTTCAGTACTCTCACCTTTCTTCACCATCATCACTGTTACCTGGCTATAGCAGAGACAGAGCCCACTTCAGAGAGGAATCTTGCTGTGAGATAGTGGCGTTTGTAGTATGCCTTGAAGATGCTCAATCAAAAACATGTAACTGGGGGCTGTCACTGTGACCCTGTTTAGCTCTAGTTACAAATACAGACTGTGTCCCTCAGCCTGTACTATTAACTTCTGAAGATTACCCCAGCAGAAGAGTGGTTCTGTCTGTTCTACCATTCCACACCATGGCTCTGTTCCCCTCACTCTTAACTGCTGTGAAACACCCCCCTGTGCCACTCGCTGCACCAGAGGCGAGAGGACAGCTACAGCTGATGGCTGCTCCCAACATCAGCATCGTTCTCACTGGTACTGAAAGAGGACTTGTGTTGCTGGATGATTCCTACCGAGTATCCCAAGGTGTTTCTCCTCTTCCGACTGCTGCTTTTCCTCACGGAAGCTCTCATCAGTATATTCCACATACTTTGCCTTCCAGTAGACTCCCCCAATTCGGTAGCGGCTACGCTTGAAAAACTGTTCAGCTGGGCTAAATGCAAAAAGCAAATTTAAAAAGTCAAGTAATTTCTATGAAAATCGGTCCTGTTCTTCTCCTGCTCCCTCCCCACACCCCTCTGGCAGTGCCAGCAGCATCTCCAAATCAAGGAGCTTTTCAGACAAGGACAGCATCTCTAGTTTGGAACAAGCACAGCTTGTCTCTGCAAAGCCTTTTCATCCTACAGCCTCATCCACTGGCGCTGTTCAGGGAGCACCTCTGGCAGGCAGCCCTCTCCCAGCTCAAACAGCTGGGTTCAATGGCACGGGTCTGAACAGCATCTCTGTACAAGATATGCGAAAGAGGGCAGTGAACAAAACTGCAGTGCCGTAAATGAAAGGCAGTGCTAAAACACCAAGTTCTTCAGAGGCTAGGGGACAACTGAAATTATAACTGGGAAAAAAACCCCACGCAACAGCTGTAAAAAGAGATTAATTTCCTCCACCACCACCCTCTCCAAACACACCAACAGCCGTAACAGCCTCACAAGAGAGGCAGCTTAGTTACAAGGCCAGCTCACAGGACTAAGGAGCTTTCGGTTCTAAGGTCTGTCAGAGAGCTGCTGCGTGGCCTTGGGTAAATCATTAACTGCTCCACATTTCTACTTCTCCATCTGAAAGAGGTATTTCCTCTCAACAGCTTCACCAGGAAGGGAATGGCGGGGGAGGAAAGTCTTTGTTGCACTTAGCCAAAGTCTGAATGGGAAACCACTGCCCAACCACTATCGCAACCACCCAACATGTGGGATGGAGGGCTGTCATCCAGGTTGCTGCATCTCATTTCCTAGAAATTGCCTGTTATAGCAAGGCTGCACTGAAACACATCTGCAGGCTAGCTCTGCCACCCTGTGTCTGCTGCAAGACGTGCTTTCTTCATAGTTCATCAAATATACGGCTCTGTTTCAGATCAGGCACAGCAAGCAGAAACGAAGCCCAGAGACAAATGTGGCAGCTTGCTCATGTTCTGCATGAGCTGGGACTCCTGGACTTTGTGGGTAAGGCTATGAACTGCTCACAGTAGAGTCTAGCTGCAGCAGCCTACATTTCCAGACGGGGTGACCTGCCTTCCCAGGAAATGCACTCCACATGAATTGCTGCTGTGTATTTTGCCAAGAAAGAAATTCCACATTTTCCTCAGCAGTCCCCTCGACACAGACCAGAGCCCCCCAAACACTGCCTTGGCCCATCTTCCCTTCCCTCTTCCTTACCTGCCTGCCTCACTCAGCTGCTTCCCAGTGCTTTGGTCGAGCCCTGAAGGTCCGTAGTCCCACTGCACTTCCTTCGCAGCTATGTAGTATTTCCGAACTCTCCCTTCCAGGGTGGATGCCAGAGTTTGCCGAGAACAGGGACGGACTTCGTAGAATGCCGCCATCCCAGCTGTCCAAGACACGGTGGAGGACACACAGCCAGTTTGACCAGGCAATGAACAGAGTCCCACATTCCTACCACAAACTGGACATTCCTCCTTTGCTATCCCAAAAGGAACATGGCTGGGAGGTGGTTAGGTGGCTCCCACAGCAAGGAGTGCTTTGTGTTAGTGAGCAGAGATATTGTACCATGTACCATGCCAGTGCATCTCACAGGGCCTAGAGCTCTTAAGGCTCATCTTGGCTTTCAGCTGTACCAAACTTACTGTCTTTGCCACTGACCAACGTGGAACACCATCCAGTGGTACAAGTCATCCCCAGTAAGTCTGGCCTGCTCATTAATAATCAATCCACCCCAGTTTACACAAGACAAGGAACCATTCCATCCATACGGATGTTTTTAGTGGGAATGCTGCTCAAGGCACTGTCCTCTACCACACTGCACAGGACCACAATGGGAGAAAAAAAGGGAGGCCACAGAGTGCAAGACATACCCCAACCTCTGCCTTACCTTCTATGTGATCATTGACCTGACAGCTCAGTAGCCATCTCCCAGGGTTACTGGGGACCATATCTGCTGTAACAAAAGTGGCTGGGAAGAGGCTGGCCACATCAGTCCTATGGCCTCGAATGTTGAGCATTTCTCCATGAAAGTAGGCTGTATGAACATCTATTTCATTGCCCATCCCAAAGAGGTGCCATGAAACGTAATCACCAGCACACATCGTCACCTCAGGGAGGTTCCCAAACACATGACCATTAATAGCTGCAAAACCAAGCAAGTCAAAATCAGAGATTAGAAAAGAAGACTTCAGAGCTTCTGCCAGGAGGTCACAGTACAGACACATTTGGAGGATGGGCCTCACCAGAACTCATCTTCTTGTTCTGGAGAGCCCAGCTCCACAACCCATTCCTAAACCAAAGTGTAGTCAAAATCACTAAATAACTAACAAAGGCTCACTCAAGCCAAATATTAAATCAAAGTAACATTTCCTTTCTCTGGAGCTGTTGCACTGTCCCTGTGATGTTGTTCACCCAGCACACTGTCTCCAAGCTTGCTGTCTCCTTTCTCCCCCTCTACCCACTCCCTGGCACACAGCAGCAGAAAGTGCACTTCAAAATACCAGAGCACCAACACTCGAGGAGTGTCTTGGAGGGGTCAGTCGCTTCACAGCAGTGACACTGACCATGCATTTTGTTGCTCTCTTGAAATTCCTCCTCCTCTTTGTCTACAGAGCCTGGATCTGTGCAGAACAACGCGATGTTCTCATCCAGGTACCAGCTTAGGTTCTCATCCACCACACTGAACATCAGAAAGAAATCAATGTCCACATCCTGGCGTCTCTGAGAACTGCCAGTCAGTATTCCTATGGTGAAAGGAGAGATGAATGAATACCCACCCATGCAGAAATGCAGACATCGGTCAAAGGATTAAACCATGAGTAGAAGAGTAACTCACATTACACAATTCAGAAATACATGCTTTCTCCACCATCCTAGTGTCTTCTCATCCTATCCTTGTTCAAGTCACCACAAAACCTTCACAGTACGAAACTGCAGCCCTCAGCTGCTTTCTTTTGGAGTTTTTACCTTTTTTGCAGGTAAGTAATGGCCCAATTAATCCAGATGCTATGTCCCTTGGTGCATCAATATGAGAGTGGTAGATCCAGGTCAAGCAGTTTGGGTCATCAGCAGTTGGGCTGTGATCTTCAGGGACAGTCCATGTATAGGTGTAATTCCCTCCTGGGAAAACAGCATCATCCTTCTTCTGATCCTGGGGGGACATATCAGGATACAGGGATCCTAGAACAATTGAGCAATCACAACATCCATTCAAGAAGAGCAGAGATGTCCACACACGTAACCTTATACTGAGCCGCTCTCACTCCGTAGAGAGCTGCACGTATATACTTGGGCAGCAGATTTCAAAGGGGTCTCACCATCCCAAGGCTGAAATAGCGCTTAATCATCATTCTCTCAAAGAGAAACTGAGGCACAGAGCCATTGTAAGGCAATTTGCCCAGGAAACATGTCAACACAGAGTCAGAAAGACGATTCCCATTCTGCCCAATGCTACTTTGCCTTCAACACTGCAATGTGCCACAGCTTGCCTCTCTACAACCTCCAAGGTTTGCTCATACAGAATTTCTTTGGTCTCCAACTTCATCATTTTTGTGAACTCCCTGAAGCTCATAACACTCATGATTCTTCCCTACAGTACCTCAAATAATGACTGTACCTCTTCTCTTCTGCACCACTCTTGCACTAGCAAGCTTTGGAGGTTCTTCTAAAATCAATAAATCTGAGCTGTGTGTACTGTAATGCCCAGGCCAGGAAACTACTCCCAGACCCAGGAAACTGCTAACTTAACATGAACACTTAATTGAACCCTTAATTGAAGTGCAGCCACTTTCCAGCAATACAGCTTTGGGCTAGCCACGTCTGTGGCTTTTTCAGACATCTCTCCCTCAGTGCATAGTCCCAAGTTTCCACTAAGAAAAATCTGCCTCCTTTATGGCCATGGGTCATTTACCTTCAGAGTCCTTTTCGTAGAAAACACCATGAGGATGGATTGTATACGGTCGACTTGCAAAATTTTTTAGGTGTACTTTAATGGTATCCCCCACTTCTGCTCGGATGACAGGCCCAAGGAACCCCAGCCAGCCAGGTTTGGGAATCTCAGTGGCGTACGTGGAGTCGGTGTATTGCTTATAGACAGCTTTCTTGTACGTGCTTCCCACTCTGTCTTTACTAGGCTGGAGGTATGTTGAGGCCTTACTGTTAAATTCAGAAAAGGGAAAGGCACCATGAGTCATGCATTGCATAAAGCAGCCGGTCAGTAACACCATAGAGCGACGACAACGACACACAGCTTCCCCAGGTAAGCCCAAAAGCCTTTCCATTACAGAGGATGTTATTTCATGACCAGACAAACTGCACTCCAAAACTGTGCAGTGCAAAGGAGGAATGGGAAGGGTGGTGCTTCTCTGAGAATCCAATATGGACAGCACAGGGAACACCGAAGTCCTTCTCACGTCTGCTTCAGCCTTCACTGGGCTTTTAAAAACTCATGTCAATGTCTTTGTGGCATTTGCAGATAAATCACAAGATTGAGACGCGGTGGGATTGGGGGTGGAAGTCTCCTGAGCTATCTGGCCAAAATTCACAGTCTAAAAGATGATTATTTACTGAACAGATTCTGAATCATAGAATGGCAGACAGGTACGTAGCCAGCACGTAACCAGCTTTCAGAGTTAAAACGTCATGCAGGTTCTAAAGTTCAATGCAGGAGTATATTTGCTCTTTATGGCTAATTCTTAGCAGATAAGAGATGAATTACCATCCAGGTATTAGTGGGACTGGCCTAAATGAAAGCTGAGGTTACTCCTCCCCTTTCCGCTAGTATCAATGACCCCACAGTAATAAAAGTAGCCCTGAAATACAGTGTTTTAACGTGTATCCACGAAAGGTGAACAGCTAAGACCAAAACATTAAGACATTATTAAACATTAGACTGCACAGCTAGAGCCCAGCCTCTTGCAAAGTCATCCCTGCAGCCACTATTAGAAAAGAGTTTACAGATAATTCATACTTCATTTCACTGCCTCTTCTTTCCCCTCACATAGTCCATTTCTTTCCAACAAAAACAAATCCTTCAAGCATTTTACTACCTCTGTCATTCATATCAATATCACATCCTTTTCTTATTGCCAGCAGTTTGGTTTCTGCAATCATTGTACAAGTACGTCCCATTAGCTAATTGCTTGCAGTGACAGAACAGTTTTTGGACCGCTTCTAAGTTTAATGGCCTTGAATTTAATTTCCTTCTCTTCATGTATTATGGGAGAAAGCAAACAAAAACAACTGCATTTGTTATCACTGCGGGAGCCTGCGATAACATCTTTAATAATCCTGAATTTTGTGGGGTTTCCTTTTCTGTGAACTAATTTAAGTCGATTCAGCATGTCCAGAGAACAGAGACTCTTCCATGCTAAACTGACAGACCTTGATGTTTTTCTCTGAACCCCTCCTAATCCTGCTGTGCTGTTTCTGAACGATACATATAAACCCAAGTGTTCTTTATTATGGAGGGGTAAATGAATGAAAGTGGGTCAAGAAATACAGGTTATCTGCCATAGAAAATGGGGGGTGGGAGGGAGCACAAATGCCTTTAAAAAACCATGGAAAACTATGCCAAAAAACCCCCAAACAACCAAAACCAAACCACTGAAGAAAAGGGTTTGCTGTTTTGAGAACTAAAACCAAAACTGCTTTTTGCAGTGACTCAATAATTACTGCAGTTTCCAGATTTACTTTTGCAACAAAAACAAAAACATTTCTCAAATAACCCCTAACATTTCATGCAGGAAGTTCTATTAAGTCGAAGGCTGGCAATTCCATTGAAACAAAAAACAAGGCAGCTTTGTGAAGTCATTTAGAGCAAGGTGACAAGTCATCATGCCTCAGGATACACCAGCTGATCGCCAGCTGGAACCAGAGAAAATGAAACCCGGGGGCAGAGCATTGCACAACATGCTCTATTACAGGGTATGTGTGCTTCCCTCCCGCACACAGGCGCTGTTGCTGGATGCTCCATTAAACTGACCACTCGTTTTCCCACTGATAGAGTTTCTACAGCCCTACAATAAAACAAGTTAAACATTAAGCTCATAAAGATCACACATCCATCAGATCGTGCCTCGTGCTTAGATGCCCTGGAATACTTGCATGAAATTACTCACAAAATTAATATTTTAAGCCTAAATTCTTACAGAACTACACGTACGGGTTATGTGCGATGGTTTGGTTGGCGAGCACGTTCCTCCCTGTTGGAGCATAGTCCCAGTTCACCTCACGGATGCCCAGGTAATAGACTCGGGTGACACCTCCAGCAAACGCGGGCGACAGCTCGGGGATGGAAAGGAGCAGCAACCAAAATAAACCCATCCTAGCCTGGAGCGGAGGCTCTTTTGGAGGTTATACCTATTTGGGAGTAAAGAAAAACAAAGGTAATGAAACAGAAGTAGAATATGACCACATGGTTTGAAGCTACTGGACATCAGTCCCGAATACCAAAACAGTTTGATCAACCTTTTGGGTTTTTTCTTTTGTCTGTAGTGCTCTTCCAAAGAGCCATGGGCATGGGAATTTCAAGAGACTCATTTTTCACCACCTCTGATGTCTCAAATCATCTTACAGGACCACATACAAAGCTCAGGGAAATAATCCTGAGCGAGTATCTTTACACTTTAAACTCTTGCCAAGATGTCTCTGTTCTGCTAAGCCACCTGAGGAAGCATGATTTAGTCACTAGGAAATAACTTTAAATTTTAACTTCTTTAAAGATTGCTCTTAAAGAGTGGTTCTCTGCAGTCCAGGGAGTGCATCTCAAATGGGCTGCACAAAGCTTTTTGCTTAGTTTAGTCCATTAATTTTCCCCATGATTTAGATCACAAAGTAATGAGTGTGAATAAGCACCAGAAATACTCTCAAGTTCAGAGACCCAGGGCAAGTTGCAGAAATTGTCTGAAATAATCAAAATACAATTTTGTGAATACAAGTTCAAAGAATTACCTGTATGAAGGAGAAACTGATGCAATATGGGGCAGCAGAATTACACCAAAGGATAAGAAAATAGCTTAGGGTTAAAATGGAAGACAAACTAAACAAAAACCCACAGGAAAATGCTTAAGAAAGATCTCATCCAGTGATATAAATAACAAAGCTGGAAGTAACCAATAATCAAGCTGTCATCTAAAATATGTCTCTCAAAAGCTGCACTTTTAACAGCAACTTAAAAAAAGTTCAGCAGAGGGAAACAGAAAACGAAAGAATTAGAAAAATGTGACCTAGCACTTAAAGCGATCAGTTTGCTTTAACTTCAGAAAGAAGGGGATAGTGACAAAACACCACCTTAAACACAGAAAGGATTTTTAATCATAGAATCACAGAATTATGACGAGATTTTCAGTATTTGTTCTCCCCTGTCTCTGGTAATAGCAACATGAATGTATCTGGTTTATTTGCAGCAAAGCTGGATATTCTGTAAGCTCTCAGCTAGCACAGCATCGCACTGGAACAGCTTCCTCAGAGCAGCTGTGAAATCTCTTACCACATCTGACACCAAATACACAGGATTTAACCCCAGTACATGGCAATGGACTGGATATCAATTCAGATCACTTCCAAACCTGTATCTCTCACATCCAAACACACTGTGCTACCCTAAGAAGCTAACGATAATCAAGTATTACTGACTCCAAGCAATAATTAAATTGAGAATTTGAGAGAAAGCAACTCTCAACTTGGAAGAGCCTCTCCCTCCTTTTTTTAAAGGGTTCTCTCTAAATCCAAGGTGGTTTTGATCCATCAACATGGTACAGCTCTGCTCCACCAGCAAACCCTTTGGGAGGTCCTGGTCACACACTCGGATACAGAGCAGCCCCTTCCCCATGGGAAGGAGGCGAAACCTCCTGTTCTGCCAGCACACACCCTGCTGGGAAGGGCACCGGGATGCTCTTGACTCAGCCAAAAAGCAGCCTTCTTGTCAACGGGGGTCAAAGTGTGCGGGAGCAGCTTTCCGGGGTGCTCGAGCACCACAGCCACTGAACCCAGGGAGTCAGTGTGGGCTGATCTTGATACCCTCTCACATTAAGGGTTTTTGCAAGCAATATCAAATCCTAGGAAAGGGCAAAGCTTAGACTTTATACCAAGAGCGAGCGGCAACTCTTAAAGCTGGTTGTGCAAACTGCCTCCTGAGACCGACCCCCACTGCTCCTACATGGCCAAGCCTCTGCTCACCACATCAAAGCTTCGTGCTGCAGCACCAATAAACTCATCAGATAAATCAGGCATGACCAGAAACTAATCCAAACGCCTTGTGAATGTGCTCTGAAAAAAAAATCAAGGACAAAGTCTTCGGGACAGCCTCACTAAGGCTTTACACAAGTCCTGTCTGGTCTCAGGCTGGAGTTTGAACACGACATTGTGCATATATCTGTGGTAATCTTAGAAAATAGCAAAACAACATCCCTCAATAAAGATTCACCAGGCTGGATTCATCCTGTTCTCACAGTCTCTTTCCAGCAACTAACCACCACTTAGTTACTCTGTCTATGCAAGGCGAAGCAAACTGCTCTTAAATTCTTTTCAAAAGCTAATTTTCCTTTGAAAGATATGCCTTGATTAAGAAAAAAAGAAGCAATAAACAAAATCTGTATTACATTTATCCCAGAACCTTGATACTTTACACCAAAATCGTTACTCCCAGGACTTTCCTTTGCCGGTTCATGAACACGAATGGACAATCAGATTTCAGGCTATTTAGTGGCGAACCATTTTATCACGGAGACAGGCTGAACGCAGGGATCTTTCCTGACACCCGATTGCTGAGAAACCATTGCCCAAAAAAGAAGGGGGGGGAAGAGTTAACTGCACGAAGGACCCCGTTTCACCCCTTACTTGCGAAGCAGCGCCGGGCGCGGGCTCTGCCGAGGGGCGACAGCGTCGGCCGGGAGGAGGAGCGAGGATGCGCCAGCACCGGCGGGGACAAAGTCTGGGCTGTAAATGGGCGCTGCCTCGCCCCGGCGGGCGGGACGAGACCCGGACCCGGCCCACGGGGCCCCAGCCGCCCAGCGCCGCGCCCCTCGCTGCCCTCCTGCCCAAG